TTTCTCCTCCTAAAGGTGCGTTTTTGTAGAGAGTAACATAAACGAATATTTCTCAGTTCGAGATTCAGTTTTACTTCCAGTTTTTTACTTCCAAAACAAATAAAGTAAAGTTTTTATTTGTTAAATGAACACAACATTCGTACTCATTTCTCAACTGTTTCATTCCTATAAAAATTGAGAAATATTCTTCAGATTTTGCTCCAGAATGCATAACTCATTTCAAAGGCCCCAGATAAAACTATTTTTAAGGAAAAAATTTTTGCTGTATATATAATAAGTGATGGTCGGCATATAAATTTCATAAGCAGGTCGTTCTAGTTGAATTCTTCTGAAAATTATGAATATTGAGATCGTTCAAAATTTTGATATGAGTGGTAATAGAAGTTCTCAGCTTCTTTTAAGGTATAAAATGTATATAAGTCATCCATTTTTTTAACACCATAGAAGACCGTCCAACTGATTCAAGTTAAAATGAAATCCAAACGTAGCGATTTCTAAGAAATAAATGCCTGATTTTATTTACATTCGATTGACTCCTAATTAACCTTACAAATTAAAAAAAAAATGTTCTTCATGAGATAAAATAATATATGTCCGTTTCCTATTTGCTACCTATTTTAAGTTTTATACAATCTAATTTATCTTAGAAATTCACTTTAAAAACTATTAACCATTAACTAAAGAGCTACTAAAGCAGCAGCAATAAATAAATAACAATAATTGGTAATAATAATAATAAAAATAATAATAATAATTGGTATTAATAATAATAATAATTGATAATAATAATAATAATAATAATAATAATAATTGGTAATAATACATAAATATAAATAGATAAATAATAAATTTGTTAAACAAACATTGGAATAGAAGAAATCAATCCAAAACTTGTTTTTTTGTTTTCTGCTGAGCAACGAATCAGAGAGTCAGAAGAAATGTGGAATATTGGGAATTAATTGCAAGTGAGAGTTAAGGCATGGCCAGTATTCGATTGAAGTTTGTGAGGCAAAACAAAGCGTTAGCAATGCACAAATTGAGATTGTTGAAAACTTAGGAAAGAAAGGAGAAGTTATTTTCAGGCTGTAATGTTAGAGAAAGAGGCCTTCGCTCATGCACTTACATCATCGTCAGACAATACTTATTGTTCTGATTTAAGACTAACGATGCTAACAAGTAATTCGTTCACTGAAATGTTCATTTTTTTCGGATAAGTTTTAATTTTAAAAATGCATCGTAAACAGAAACAGTATGTGACGATTGCTTTTTTCTTAATTAAGACATGGAACTGATTCCTGCTTGAAATATAGCATGGCCTTGATTTGAATTTGCAATACATAAAATTTCTTATTTAATAAGAGAAGGTCGGTTGATTTTTCAATATGGTAGTGTTGAAAGTAAATTTAATTATCATTAATTTAATTGGAAATAATTTGCTTTGTAGGAATGAACTGAGATCATATAGGAACGAATTTCATCAGTGATGAAAACTTTCTGTAGTTCAATAGAGATATTATGATATAATGATAAGTTATTCACAGAATTGATTAGTTCTGTGATCAGACAAAACGAGATTTTTTTTTTAACATCAAGTTTACAGAACTAGAAATTTGCTTCTAAGGAATTGCATGAAGAAAAACATTTTCTGACTGACGCTGTTTCAGCTTTAAATGATCATTTAGATTACTGTTCAAAAGTTATTCAACTATATTGGCGACGTGAGTTACATTAAGCTAAAAAGCAGAATTACAGATAATTTCCTTCACGACAAAACAAGTTGAAAGATTTTACATCAAACAATTAAGGGTGAAATGTCAAGTAGTTACAAGTCATTCCATAGCTATAATTCAAATAGATAATGGGCCTAAAGAAAACAGAATAGATTGTTCCCCTTTCTTGATGACAAAATTTGGAGATCACTTGAATTTCTTGAGTCACCAGGTAAAGCTGATATTAATTTCAGAAAAAAGATGAGGAATTGCGAAACATTTAAATTTATTTGGCAGTTAATATCAGCCTTCTAAAAATTAACGGAAATAGTACCATTTTGCATTTTGGAAACAGGTTAAAAATTAAAAAATGAGCAGCAAAGATTATAATTGTGCAGCTAATGAAGAGCTTGCTTAACTAACTGGAGATTAAACAGATTTACTTGTTGAAAAGATGTAGAAAGCGACAAAATTTGACGCATTTGCTGGGAAGCAATATGATGACGTGCGGTTTGGATTACTAGCTAAAGAATTATGGAGAAACTCAGTGCTTCCTTATGTTAGCTTACCAGAAGCAAATTTCAACAAATAAGATTTAACAAAGAGGCGGAGAGGACCAGCAATATAATGTTAGGCTCTGGAACAGCATGGCTAAATCTCAGTAAATGATATTGCCAATATATTTTGCTTTACTAAAAGCCTATCGTTTTTGATCTGATTGAAAGCAAGAATTAGTACAATGAGTAATAAAAAATACTGAAATGCTATTTATTATAATTGGTAACTGAGGATCGGCGTGATTTGAATTGTGTTTTTTGAAATGTCTTTTCCTTACATATCTATGGTCTCCTTTAAATTATATTTCATTGTTAAGCTGACAGTAGCATGTTTTGTCAGGCTAAATCTGTTCTGACGTCAAATCCTCAGTTTTCCTAGCTGAAATGTGATAAACCTATTTCAAAATGCAAATAAAAATTTATGTGAAATCTATAGTGGTATAAGAAACTGGTGGAATTGTCACTGCTTTTCTCTCAGTTATGCTAATGACTTGAAAATTAAGGTATCTACACTTTAAGAAAACTGGTAAGTTAAAAAATTATAGTCAAAATGAGATTATACATTCAAATCAACATCAAACAAACAAACAAACAAAACTATAAGGAGTAAGTTTACAAAGAGCATAAATTAGAGATGAAGAGACTACATTACTGGAAGAAGAGAGAAGATGGAATGTACAAAGGAATTTAGAGTTTCAAAATTAGGATATGTTGAGAAACAACTGACGACCATCAGCATGAAACTAAATTTACCCACTGATATATAAATTCTATAGTTATTGTATATTTTGAACTTTCGAACACATATTTTAAATGATTTATTTGCAATAATTGATATTCTTCTTTATTTAAAAGTGTGACTACTTATTATATAGTAGGCAAAAAATAAAAACAGAAATATTATTTAGTTCAAAATTTTTAAACCAACAGTTGAAAACCAAGCAAGATTTGATTTCAAAATCCTGCACTCAATAAGATTTTGAGATCACGCATTTCTTACAAGTTTATGTAATTACAAATTACTTTTAATTGGCTCATTTTAAAGGGTCTGGTAAATTGGGAATATAAATTTCTAGCAAATGAACAAGTTTGATAATGCGCTCAAATTATCGACACTTTTTTATTTTCTAGTTTTAGTTCGTATTTAGTTAAAAGTTGTTTGTTTTTGAAACTCTACTAACAATCTTTGAAAATTAGGAATAATGTTTCCGGAATAAAGACTAATGAGAGTCAAAATTTGGGACTTCGATGTTACCTTGAAGTGGGAAACAGTTGTAAAATGAGCGGCCATCTTCTGATGAGTATCGAATTTATTGTAAGGACGAAATCGAAAAGAAAAACATATAACTATACCTCTGGCATTTTAGGCATTAAAAAAGACCTTCAACTGCATTTCAGTCCCAAATAAAATCAGCTTATATAATCCAAATAAACCTAAATAAGATGTTACATCGCCATTAAAATGATTCCAGAAAAAGAAGCAGCCAACTTAATAAGCAAGGAAATTGCAAATAACTTATTAAGCGGTGACAGTCAATAACATCATCGAAAGCCCAGCAATATCTTTGATATTCCATAACTATCCGTAACAAATAAGATTGTTACGACTTAATCCGAAAACTTGTGGTGCCGAAATTTCTAAATAGAGAAAAAAGACTTTTTCCACAAGTGAAAGTAATGTTAAAAATGTTTCGTTTCAAAAATAGAAGAAATTGGGGCATAAAATGTGCATACTGAGAGAAGCTTAGAGATGGATGCTAATAAAAAACTGAAGAACTTCATAACATTTTGCATGATTTATTCTGTGGGAAGCAAAACTTCAGTGTGTTTAGTAATCTCCTAATAAATAATTACACTAGATGTTGGTTTTGAACTTTTTATCTGAAGAGTTAATTTATTACCGATGGTATAACAGTCAGGACATTTTCAAATCCGGAGTCAAACAATTTGTACAGTTTGAAGTTATTGCCTATCATATATTTGTGATATAAGAAAGAGAACATGATAAACTTTATCAGATTTTCATTATTTTTTTTTTTTTCTAATTGGCTTCTCCGAATTAAGCCTTCTATTAATGTCAACTTTTCAAGGCAACTGTCGTGGAAGCAAATTTTTGTCGTGGAAGATTTGATCGTTTAATTATTAATTTTGGGAGAGGTTTTTGATCCCAGGGAGATTGGTTGGATGTAGGTGTAAATACGTGGGGTACCGGAGAAATAAACCAATTTCTTTATTAGCAGAAGTAATAAGACAATACGTTGATAGAGAACAATTGAAATTGAACTCGTCTGGTTCTTGGCAACAAATTACACATATATTAAGATCTTTTAACAAGGGTAATCCTTATATAGCAATTATATCTTACATTATATGTGTTAAGGTGTGGGAGTGGCTTATAATTAGACATTTTTGTACAAAAGATAAATTGTCTAGACATTATAGTGAGTAACTTTTACAATGGATATCATCAAAGAAAGTACAGTGGGTTGTCTAGACTATAATGAGTTGTCTAGACTATAATGAGTTGCAATGGACATTACATGATAGATGCTCATAGTACATGAATTGATATAAAATCATAAGTCAGTTAAACCATTACGATGATTTGTAAAAGAATCAATGGATTGCTATATAAAGCATTGTTAACATTTATTTAGTGCTTAGCGATGTTAAAATCCACGATAGCAACTTCATTTTATTATAAATTGCAATGTTAATTCAATCTTAATGTTTGTTATTGGTACCGCCGATCTATAACAAATATGTTATATCAATTTAAATCAGCATATCCGAGGAAAACTACTTCATTATTTTACTTGTAATGAAAATGGATGTTTTCAATGAAAATTTTTCATGTAAAAGTTGAGAGGCTATAAGGTTTGTCAGAAAGAAAAAGTGAAAGGCGAAAGGATAAAGATGAACAACTGTAGGGAAACAAAGTATGACAACCATATAATAAATTAAAAATAAATTTCACAGATAAATTATTGAAGTAAAAACTGCAAAGTACCATTGCTACTTTCTTTATTTGATGGTACTGCCATTGAAGATGTGTTGCGCATCGTGTCTTGAATAGTTCGATCATTTGATGGAAAAAATGGATTTTGTGGGAATCCAAAACCGAATGGTTGGGTAAACGGTACTTCCTACAAAGACAAAGAAATTAGAGTGGTCGAGTGTTTCTAAAAAAGTAGGGAATGTTTGGATTTATCATGCTTAATTTGCTATTCTGCCCAAATCATACTATAAATCATCAAAATGCAGTTTTTTTGATACTACAAGAAAGGATTTTTCAAGACTCACCAACTGTTTGAAAAAATTTTCCGCTTGCTCTTCTCTCAGTCGACGTTCTTCTTCTCTTTTCCGATAGTAAGAAGCGAACTCATTTTTGCTCACAATACCATCACCTAGCGAAATAAGACAAATAGCATTAATATTAAAATAAATTATTACGCATCACGGATAATTAAAATTTAAGAATTGAAGATTTAAGAAAGTGGGCAGTGGTCTTTTTGGTATGAAATCCGCTTCAAGGAAAAGAATTTTTATCAGTAAAAATTTTCAAAATTTCTCATTCTTGGATCTGAGAAAAATTTTGGACAAAGATATTTTAGGAAAAAGTACCATTTAAATCTTGTCTGTGATACAATCGTGATTTATCCTCAATGTATGGCCGATCGGCTAGTATAAATTCCGCAAAGGTAATTTGTTGATCACCGTTTGCATCGATACGTCTAAATTCTGAACAAAAAAGACTTGAATTGATGTAATCTATTAATAATTAACTTGGAAGGAAACATGAGTTAAAATAAATATGAAAGCTATAAATTTGAAAATAACTCTACTCCAGCAGTATTTCCAGTTAAAGCAAAACAAGTCCTTGTGATGAAGAAAACTTTAATTTCATAGCAATTGCAAAGCGATATAAAATATTGCTGAAGCTGAAATGTCCTTTCTTGTAAGGCTATCACTAAGACACTACGTAAGATCGCCTTCAGAGATACTCTCATGAACCAATAACTATTCCCTTTTCGTTATAATAGTGTTGTTAAAATGTATTAAAGTAAAATTTGAATTCAAACCATCAAATCTCGGACTAAAGTCATCAGCAGGTATAGGAGTAATTTCAACAGGTATTGGTGAAGCATGTGCATTCAGAACAGATGTTGGTGAAGGAAGTAATGCAACTGCGATCGTTTCTGATTTCGTTTCACAGGTAATTATTTCCACAGTGACCAGCAAAATTATGAGCAATTTCGTCCTATATTTTTTCATTGTTAATGCTACTGAAAGGAGTACCTGAGTGAGACAAAGCTTTTATCTTACATATTAAATATTTCAGATCGGCATCCAAATAATTTGGATTTTTATGTTAAATTACTTTTCTTCAAAACTAATTTTATGTGCTGGTATAGTAATGCAGTTACCATTTTATGTACTGGTATAGTGATGCAGTTACCTCCTCATAATTTTTGAGGAAACTGAAGTTAAATTTTTAAAAAATTCCTGAGAACTTTATATTAGACAAACATTTAAAACTTCTAGCAAGTCATTACTTGAGCAATTCTTTGCACTAATAAATGAAATAACGGAAAAATAAATATAAAACTACTGCGCTGAATAGAGTTCATAATTTGGTAAGTCTACAGCCGCGGTATTTATATGGGGTAAACTTCCACAGAGCTAATTACGCTAAAAGCTGATATCTTATTTGTTGCGTAGTTAGTAGTGGAAAAATAATTGATGAAAGAAGGGCTATAATTTCCCGTCCAACAATCTCCGTCCTACATTTGCGCTAATTAACATATTTTTCGCACTTTTTTATCATTTTAAATGTGTCTTCCCAACCATAAATCTCATTCCATATGCATCGTAAAATTAACAGGTTGTTTTTCAGCTTGAAATCCCCTCCCTAAAAGTATATTCTCAGTCTTTCTGTATAAATTAAAAAATTGTTCATGTCGACTAGTACACAATGTTAGTAGAATTTATCAAAATATAGCGTTGTGGACAAAACTGGATTATATAATACACGGATTATAGGCCACCGTGTACTGCACTACTAAAGAGCAATACTCAAACTACGTTGCTAGTCATCGCAACTTTTTTTACTTCCTCGGTTTTTCAATTGTCTCATGTGTTCCTTCCACTTCCTCGCTGTCTTTTTCCAAAATTGAGATGCTAAGTATTGTAATCTCGAGATTCGAGAATTCATTCCAAAAACTAGTGGGTAATTTCAAAAATACATACTTCCATACACTATGGACTTCTTAAAGCCTGAATTTTACCATAACTTTCCTGTATCTCATTTTTGTCTGTCAACGTTTACAAAACCGTACATTGAAGATACAATCCAGCGCTTTATAGATATTACAGCTCTTCTGCGTGTGCAAAAATTTTGGTAGAAATGAATTCACTTCTTTGTGTTTCAAAAGCGTTTATTTTTTTAACTAAAAGACCATAAAATAAATAAAAAGCCTTTCTTAACCTTTCTTAACCAAGCGGGCTTCCGGGATCTCTACAACTTTTCTACTTCCCTGGCGGTATTTTCGCTAGAATACCTCATCCATGTGTGCAAAAAAGAAACTTTGCAGTGTTTTGGAACATAGCAGCAGTGCAATTAAACTTGGAATGAAGTCGTGCAGTCAAAAGAAAAAGTGCTACAGTTTATTAAGTGGTAATCGATCAAGTGAAATGAATGCATTTAAAAAGAGATACGTGACGGAACAAGCGATATGCTATAAAATAGAAGCAGGAAGGAACAACCGGCAATTTGTACTGCCACATAAACATTTCTTGAGACAAAATTCTGAGGTATTGGCACCATAGTCGTAGGTGAGCTCTTCGTAAGCAGCTATATCACGAAGTGCAAACAGTCCAACGTGTATCTGTGGAGTACCATATCTCACAAGGATCATTATCAAGTTAGGATTACAACCGTGATTTATAAATCGTGACTGATTCCCACGAATTGATGGGTCGATATATGTCACTTCAGTGTGATCTAAATTCATTCACTATGATACAACAAGTCAATCTTATTGGAACAGATAAAATTGTTAAAGAAAAACCTCCAATTTCAAGAGCGGTTAAAAGAAATAAACTTAACAAAAATAAGAGAAAACTGGAGCGGATACACAGGAAAACAAACAAGAGCAGTTTTTTTAAACAAATTGTTGAGATACCATAACAAAAAATTAACTACCTCGGAAAATTTCTTTAATGGTGAGAACATAATTTGTATCGGACTGACGCTTCTTCACTTCATCTGGTCCAATTACTTCTCCAATATATTCAATAACAAAACGACCTTTTTCAATTAGCTCTCTACACTGTAAACCATAACCTTTTTCACCAGCATCAAAGATCTGAAATCGAGATGAACTCCAAACAGGATAAAGGAAATTTCTTCGAATCTAAAACAAAAACTAACATTGAGAGGAAGTGAACAGCCCAACTGTACACATCTATTTTTACACTTATCCGGAAAGAATGAGCAAGAACATTCAGTAGAACACTCCAGAATTGGCAAATTGCTGTCAACATCCTTAATGAAAATTTGGTCTATGAATATATCCTGAAAATTTCTCAGCAAATCATTCAAATAAAATCACTGTAATTCTTCGATAAAATACAAGAATTATTGATTATCAACAGTTCTTTTTCTGATATAACGAGTGAGTTGCATAAAGTTTCAATAATTTACAAAACTTCAAGAACAACTATCAAAAAAGTTCGAAAATTCGGATAAAACCATGCAAGAAAGAAATACCAATATAATAGTGTGGCAAAGTAAATAAGACTTGCCTGTTTGTACAGAAGACAGGTGCAACCAGTACTTGCTTTGCATGGTCCCGTGCAGCTACATCCTTTATATACCGTTTCGAAATTCACTGAATTGCCACCCGGACCGCATTCCAAACTTTCTATTTGAATATATTCCATCCCAATCGGAACTTCGAGAATCTCAAGAATGACCCACAATGTCTACATTAATTTGCACAATGCCTCAAACACTACCAGTTACGGGCCACCCACTCCGTTGAAATGGTATAGGAGGTAGAAAAGACGAAGAAGTGAGTATTTCGGGAATGAGAGAGTCGTCGTCCTCGTTCGATCCTTACTCATGGAGGAATTTCTATTTCCATGTTGGTCGAGAGGAAGCAACGCGACTATTATGTCAGTCCGATTCTGATCTCGGCACATTCCTTATCCGAGATTCTACAACTCCGGGAAGCTATGCTTTAAGCGTTAGGTAATAACATCATGTACTTTAGTTTTATTTAGTCGGATATGGTACGTTACTTCATTTTAAATATTTTTTCAGTCACTTGGTCGAAATTCTACTCTCACTTCAGTTCCATAACATTGTACAGATTTCACTGTTGTAGAGAAGAACTGTCCGGTGATCAGCAGGTCCGACATTATCTAATTGAGCCCGTTGAAGCGGATAATGGCAAAATGAATGTGAAAGTAGGTATACAATTTGTCAAGGAATAATACATTTTATTAACGTTATATTTTCTCGAAGTTGGCTTGTTTGTACTATAAACAATTATAACTGGAACTGCAGATAGCCGATCAGTACTTTGTTGACATTCCTGCCTTGCTTAACCATTTCAAAATGAGGATTTTGGCGAATGTAAGTTTGGTGTGTCCGCTCCGAAAAACCGCAATTAATAGGGTACGTTCCTTTATTTTCTTTCGTTTGTTTTATCCTTTGTTTCTTTTTTTCTGTTGTTAAATAGAATTTTGGAATAAAATTTCTTTGGTATTACTACTTATCCATAGCAATATTTTTGTTCTCGGTTTCTTTTTTGGCTAGCATGTGAATTTTGATCTTACCAAAGCGTATAATGAATTGAGAATGATGAATAGAAGAGCTGAAACCTTCTTTCTTGTCTTTATCTAGTATGTAATTCCATTCTTCCTTTTCTTTAACGTCCGGTTTTTTCAGATGATTGCTTTGTACTCATTTGAGGGACAAGAACCAGCGGATCTGTCATTTGAGAAGAATGAAATTCTTGATATAATCGAAAAACCACAGGAAGATTGGTGGGAAGCTCGAAATGCTTTGGGTAATGTTGGCCTTGTTCCTGGAAATTACTTGGTGAGGCTTCAATTACGTTCTCATTCATGGAGATGCTTCTGTAGTTCATTGGTTTCTACATACAATTTCTACATGTTCTAGCGTACATCTAATAGTTTCTAATTAGTTCAAATTTTCTAGTTCCAGGCACAATTTGACGAAGTTCTAATGCAGAGAGACAGTCCTGATTCTTTAGTATCGTCAGAAAATCGTTTAAGCGGTGCTTCCGTTCTTAGTGATATTAATGACGATGTTTTGAACAATGCGCAACTTTCTGAAACGGTTAGCACACAAGTAAACTTTATTATCATGTAAATATATGAGTGTAATAGTTGTTATCACTAACTTTTCGTGGTTGCATAAACTTATTTCATTACAGCCAAACATGCCAACACTGGCGCGTGTAATCCTGGATAGGCGACCAAATGTGTACGATACGGAAGCATTGCGTTTGAAGGTTCCTTTTTTTCTAAAATTTGAAATCTTTGTCGGAAAGTTGATTGAACGAAGTAGTCTAACGATTAGAATAAAGTGTGTTTCGTGATTACTTTTTTCATTGCTGTTCTTGGTGTTCGCACAACCACTGATAGCCTCTTTGGGCAGTATTTCGGACATCTTCCTTGCAGTAAGTTTCATTTCCCTTGTTAAGAATAAAGTATGCTCCTTGATTACTTTTCAGTGCATTGTGCATTGTAATTTTAAATGGTCTTCGTTATAGAAAGGTGATTTGCTGAAAGTAACCAAGTTACATCCGTCCGGTATTTGCGAAGGAATCTTGAATGGTAAGAAAGGTACTTTCCCGTTTACGTATGTGGAATTTGTGTGCGATACAGATATAGCAGCAACACCTACTCCCGTATAGCAGACAGTTTTTTCTTCATTTCATTATGTTTTTCTTGTAATTGTTTGCGGTTTTTTGCTTTTCAGTATTTTATACTTTCTCTGGGTTTTCTTCATTGTTTTCAAACGATTTTTAATGGATTTACCATCTGATTTGTATGTTATGTATAACATATATGGTAATGAAAATTTTGGTAGCTCTCTGTATTTCTACTTCTCAATCTTTAACTGAATGCTTTTCTTACATTTATTATGACTTATGGTGCGTAAAACACAACTAACGTGTATTCTAATTTTTATAAATAGAGCCAGATAGTGTGGCTTCTAATAATGGACACTTGCTTTTATTTGTCACTTAAAATGTACCTGCAGGAAAAGTATGAATTAGGTTATTTTTTGTAACATTATATTACATCATGGAAAGGTTAAGAATAAAATAGGAGTGCAAAGTCTGTTAGCATGTTAGTGCAGACATATGATAATCAAACATTTTTAATCAAGTTGATTCTGAAGTCACATTTTATCCTGTCTAGCACGCATAGCTTGCTTCATATTACTGCAGAGCAAGAAGGAAACAGCATGTTGGAAATAAATACTTTGTGAATTCGTTGATGCGTATTATTTTGTGTACTAAATCTAGAATTTCAACTTCATTTTTTGGATGCTGACCTACTATCTTATGAACTTTCCTCATGTTACAGCAGACTGAGGAGTATAGCAATACTGTCATTTGTAAACACTGTTTTATGACAGTATTGTGACGATGTAAATTAAAAATAACTTTGAATTACGTATGATAAGTATCGTAATTATTTTCAATCTTGTTTATGTGGTGCGGTTGTAATTCAATAGGTAGAAGTCTAGATTTGCTGGAGTGCAGTATTCCTACTTATCTTTTCGAACCACGCTGGTGATGCGCTGTGAGCTACTTTGTTGTTGTGAACAGTTTTTAGCCCCGTAGCAAAGGATGGTTTTCCGCACAGTGGGCCGACTGACTGCCATTGTGGGATTGTTGGGAAGTGTGCGTGGAAATTGAAATTGGTGTGTTTGGAATCAGTTGGTATTTTCGAACTAATATGGAATAATCCTAAGAAGTTGCTGCTTAAAATTTTTATATTTGTGTGATCAGTTATATCAATTTTTGAACGAAATGGTCATCCTTCAAGCCTGATATTGGATTTAGACCACTAAGTCGTTCTCCAACATGTTCAATTATGAGATGAATATATGGGTAGGATATGGTCGTCTCAAATTCGCTATTCGTCGGAAAACCATAGGTTTGTCGGGAATATCCTCATTACTGGAAGTGCTGATTAATTGCTGACATGCACGTCGTCATCTAGTAACTACTGGATGTAATGCTGCAACACACAAAACTGATATAAATAGAGTGGTAGGAGTTGAGTGAGGTTTGTTGTCTGGCTGTATGCCAGGAGGTGTCTTGATACGCGTTACGGGCGCGTTGCGTGTGTATATGTTAACAAATTTTAGATTAATTAAAGGTGATCTGGTTATCATCCAGGCTTGTCTTCATCACTACAGTAGTTGCAATTGTTTTTCGTGTTTTATACGCCATAGTTCATTTGTGCCCAAACAGACAAGTGTGCTATGAAGTGCGCAGTGGTGTGATCGTCAGACCCTTTACTAGTATTTCTTGACAATTCGGTGTTGTTACACAGCTTGATCATTCTATAGTTGTTGCTTTCCTTTAGCTCTTACCCAGTTCTCTCTCTTACTTATTTTGTCTTATAAAACAAAATAGGAATAAATTCCTAATATAGCGTATGGCATGTGTAAAATGCTGGATCGTGAATTTCCTGATGCACTATTCAGGATATATAATTTTGTGCACTTTGAATTTGCACTTGTTAATTGAATACTGTTTAATTTAAACGGACTGTCTTCATAACACTGATCGAAGTACTGAAGTATATCACTGTGAAATATAAACTGTTGGGTTGCTGTTTTGCTTTTATGATCTGTTATCTAGGAAAATACGTAAGTTCTGCGTTGAAACTATCATTTAAGTGCTTACCTTATATGTTGTCTCCAACAAAACTGTAGGTGCATTTTTTTAGTGCAATGTCGAAATTTTCATGCTTAAAAACTCGAAATCGAAAGTAATGGGAATCTACGTATCCCAAGATTTGTGAAGTAAGATGAGTATAATTTTTGCAAATCTTATTAAAAGAAGTTCCGTGTTTTGAGGCGGTGAGTAGGAACTTGTTAAATTATTTCAAAATCGTCTTGACGAATAAAAATCTCATGCAGTTTGGTGTTTGTTGGCTGGGTGAAAGCGATGGGAGGACAAGTAGCAAAAAGGACATAAATAATGTGGTAGCGAAGGATCAGTTTGAGCATTTTTCTTCTTTAGGTTTTTTCTCGAATGAATTTAGCAAGTGGGAATTAAGAATAAGCATGTGCTTTTTTGACCTCTGCGCCGAAATGTTTGATGGCATCCACATATTGTGAGCGATAAGCTAATGTTAACATCTCCCGCAATTGGATTCTGGTTGGAGGCGTTACTGAAACTGTAATTTTCCTCATGTCTCAGTGGTCCGTCTTGCCCTTATTGCTTTCTGGTAAATATCTCCGTATTAAGCACGATGCTTGCTTGCTTTTTATGGTTGTGTTTTTTAAATATACTGCCCACACCATTACTTTAATTAGGCAAAATCGCCTACAAAACAAACAGCATTTAAGATTGACCTCTCTGATTTTGAGAAGAATTGTTAGTATCTTGTTTTATTGAGCAGATTCTTTTATTTCTAAACTATAATGAGTTATGTACAGTGGCGGATAGTTTTTAGGATGTGTCAATTTCAGTGCAAGCAAAATAGATCTGAAAATACTCTTATAGTCCGGTTCATTTTTCAGGAACTCACGTTACTTGAATTTCCGATGACGTGACTTTTTCCGCTTCGTTGGATCATTGTGGAAAATTAATTTTAATACTGTTGTTAATGCTCATTTTCTTTAGTGAAAATGTGTGAAGAAGAGAGTGATTCCTTACGCTATTCATAGGAATATGATGTCTTCGAGCGGGTTTCGTCCTTTTGATGATCTTTCCGAGTAAGTTGTTTCTCCATAATTATCGAAATTTTTGATTTCTCATCCAGTGCATTTCTCTCGAGATGCCCATCTTTAAAGTAGTTGCTAATAGTTTTAATTGTGTGATGAAGCACTAAAATTCGAAGTGTTTTTTATTCTAAATGTCAAAATATCAAGAGTTTGATCTATTGCATGTTTTTTATGAGATTAATATATGTTATATATATATTAATAGACTTGTAATAAACTTTATCTAATACCTTGCCAGTATATGTTTGTTTGTTATATATCTACTTTATATCTAAGTATCGTAGATAAAGTTTATTATATCTAGAACAGTCTTCATAGTTTCGCATACGTTCTTGATGTTAAAATTAAGTGGCTTATGTAGATACAGCTCTTACAGTAAGAAACATTCATTTTGCAGGCATTATGAAGATGAATGGCTACAGTTGGGTCTAGAAGATGAAACTTTGAAATGTAGTAGCCCTCCTGCAACTGGAACTGTCGATTTTGGTCTTACTGTATCGACGAGATCCTGTCCATCGCCACTGAGTCATATCCCCACTCGCGAACCTTACCCTTCCGAGCCTCCACCCAAACTGTCTCCAGTATCTGCGGAGCAACAGACTTTCATCACTTTAAGCAATAGTCGTATTCCTTCAGTACCTCCTGGGCCTTCGCAGTCTATTTTGCAACCTGCACCACAAGTCCAGTCATCCGAGCTAACCAGTGTCGAATATGAACTAAATCCTGATTTGAGCGTCCTATCGATACCCTCCAGTTCTCCACTTCTGGTTACTAAACCAGCGGAATTGCAGTTTACCCAGCCCTCTGTTTCAGGTCTCCATCAAAATGGAGATTTTGCATCGTTTGTACAACTGGAACAAAGGGAAAAAAGTATGCACTTGGCTCATGATTTAAGTAGGAACTGAATTTTTTTCTAATGCATTAGTATTTTTTCTGTACTAATCTGGATCACACAGATCTCGACTTAATTGATCAGTTCATGGAGTTTTGTCTTTTAACATCGATTTTCATCTTAATGCATGTTTAGGAACAGTTATTCAATCTCAACAGCATCCTCCCGGATGTGTGCAAGCTGTTAATGGACAGTGGTTTGTACAGGCTCAAGTGCAGCAAGTTCAGACTAGTGCAGGAACAGTTATAGCTGTAGTGCCAAATTTTTGTCGATCACAGGCGCAACCAGCAGGAACCAGTCAAAACCTGTCGCAAGCGCAAGTTTCGCAGTCGCAGTTGATTGCACACCCCATAGGAAATGGACAGGCTGTTAACACTGCTCAACCTACTACAGTCGCTACACAACATGTGATGCAGAATCATTCGCACCATCAGATCCAGCAGCAGCAACCACAACAAATCGTACATGCTGCCCGCATGCCCCGTTCACTTACCGTGGGCGTTGCATCCGGTGCGCCACAACAGAGCCACTCTGTTATGCAACATTTATTATCACAACCAGCTATTTCTCGTTCGCAAGTTGTAAGTTTTTACGAAGAGAAAAATAGTTTTTTTTTTTAGTTAACTTAGCTGTTCATTCTGGAAAAGATAAAGTAGGTTAGTTATTAGAGAACGTCACTAGTCCCTTTCAAGCCGAATCTTGGATGCAGCTTCCCATGTACCAAAATATTACGTTTAATAATCCATCATTTCTTGTAGCATAGCGCCTAATTATAACTTTATCCGATCGCATGTAATATATGTAGCGATAGTAATGAAGGTGGTACACATTTTTTATTGTTTAAGCAGACAGCAGTTCAACCAGTGACTTCAGTTCCACCAACCACCAAAAAACAACGGAATTCTCAACCTCGAAATGGACGCAGAAAGGTCTTTAAACTTTTAACTGTTCACTATTTTGTATTATAACAGTGTAATTTCCTTCATAATACTTTCCTCTAATTTTTTTCGATAAGGAAGAACCTAGAATCCTGTTTTATTTTCACAGTACTTTTATTTGTTGCATATTTATGTGAATAATCTATTTCATTTTCTAGAATAATAGTCAGGGTGGCACTCTGGGATCTGTTCTGATAAAAGCAAACAAACTTGCTGCTGCAGCATCAACTGATGCATCCATAAATCAGTTGTTGCCTCCATCGCATGGGATTGAAATGAGGTTGAGTGTACAGAACAGCGAACAAGTGGCTAATCTTTCTAAGGAAATATCGCGCTTGCAAAGTCTTGTAAGTTTTCTAGTTTTATATACTATAGTTTTAGATTCTAAGCTTTATGCATTTCAGTCGTGTGTGATCCACTTCTCTGGCATTGAAATTTTTTTATGCTCGCAGGTTGTCATTTAATAAAGCAGTCAGTGATGGGTCGAAGTTAAATTCTCCATCCTTCATATAATAACATTTTAAATCTTGGAGATATGTCTGTTTAGTGTGAATTACTTTCAGCAAACTGCTTATCATGTTGATCATTCAGCAGAAATAAAGGAGCTTGAAAATAAGCGAGCACAGATATTTTTTGAAGCCCTTGCGCAGCAGCATAAGTATGTTATTCTATAATTCACTTAGACTCGATGCATTTTTAATTTCTCTTTTTTGTCTATTTTTTCTCATATTTTCTACTTGCCTTTTTTTTTTTTTTTTTTGTACCTAACATTATTTATCTATTTGCATTTAAGAGATAAGGATTTGTTGTCGGCAGTAAATCCCAAACCGATGACTTTGACAGCACACACTAGACAAAGGAATCATAATAGGAATAATCACAATAGTGGACAATCATCTGTAGTGGTGCATCAAGTACAGCCTTCTACAAGCTACGAGCAGCAACAGCAACCGAATTATGAAGTAGCAACACCGGCAAAAGTTCCGATTTCTTACCACAGTTCATATCAAATTTCGACTAACTATACTCCGGCTCATGAAACCCTCCAGAGCAGTCATTTCAATGTTCGCAATAACAGTCAAATTCACCAGGTATGAAAGATTTTCAGTATTAACCTCATAATTCTATTCAGTGCAAAATTTGAATTTAGTATTTAAAATTTAATCTCCATTGACTACTTTTTGATGACTGATGCTGCTATTACTTTTGAGGTGTCGACAACGCAGTATAGATCATACCGAGCAGCCGTCAACCAACCATCAGTGCAGCAGAATCAAGTACGGGAAAATTATATGCATACAGTGCCAAATACTATACCCCAAGCTGTTATTTTGCAAACTGAACAACATCGCTCCCATCGTGTAGTTCGTGAGGTACCCTGTGAACCACTCCCTCCGCCGGTGCCATTATTTCCGCCACCAACTCTTAGATCGTCTGCTGAAACCGCGGCGTGTATTGCGAAGAAGAAAGTTGAAAGAACTAAAAGGTTTGTGATAGATGGCCTCTGTTATCCTCTTTGATTTTGATGTCTTTTGCTAAATTCGGTAAGTCTATGGGAAACTGTAACCAAAATATACAAATTGCTTGGATTCTTGTTTACTAGTGTTTATACTATCTCATCCACAATTGCAGGATCAACGATTACTTTTTATCACTCCATAATTCTGTAGAACATCCAGACGTGTCATCGCCTTTCCATGATCTCTCAGATGTGCTTCAACGCCTTCTTCCCTTCCATGTCTATTCAGAACCTGATTTCAATTCAGAAATTATGGACACTTGTACGTTTCTAATGATGAGAGTTTTCTCTTTCTTTTTTTTACCAAAATAAAGAACATGTACTTTCTCACTTAACTTCAAACTGTTTTAATTTCATAAAGCAATTTCAGTTGATTACCACTGCCTACGACATTTTGTGCATTTAAACAGCAGAAGACATATTATCGAGCAACGGATGCGATCTCTACTGTGTAAAGAAGCCATGGTTTGTTAATTTTCTTAAAATTAATACTTTGGTCGCTGGTGTACCAGTTGGGAAGTTGTAGTTTTCTCAGTCTTTCATTCAAGTTAAGAAAACAGTCAGTTAATCATCTGTCATTTGATGAAAAATACGTTGTTTTAGGCGCAAAGATTAATTTTTTTAAAGTTTAATGTGATGTACGTTCTGGAGTTTTTCTCTCTACAGTGACGAGTAGAACATTCATCAGAAGAATAACAATAAAAGATGGAATTTGAAGAGTCAGGTTAATCCAAGTTCGAGAAATTATGAATTTAATGAATGAAGTTCCTTATTAATTTTCAAATCATGAAACGTTCTGTTTGTTGCTCGAAAAGCTCGAAAAGGAAAATTGGATAAATGATTTTCTTATAATATTTTCAGGAGGGATATACTAAAGCGGATGAGTGCCTTTTACTTTCACTTGATACCGAACATGAACGTCGTCTGTTGCATGACGAAAAGCGAATGGCAATTGTCTGTGGCAGAGGTAGAAAAAAATGTCACAAAATTAATGAAGTGGGGTGTGGGATTTCATTTGTTACATCATGGGTTTTGGGCTGAATATCTCAACTGTTAAAATCTCTTTTATAGAAGAATTCGTTGCAAAATCTACAATATGCAATCGTATGAATGGCATGGATGTAGAAGAATATCGAAAGGAATTAGTACCGAAAACTATTCCGAAATTACACTTTGATTATCACACGTTCTCGGAGAGCGAAATTGCTGCTCGTATTGTTAGTCCATTCACAGCGTCTGATATCGAAGATTCTCCAGTTTCAAAGTCCACAGGTTCTGACGACGAAGAAAGGATGCTTTCTGATGTAACTGAAGAGATGCTGATTTTTGAAGAGACTGCAACAATAACCAATACAGAAAGAGATGCAAATGATCACGATATAAAAGGAAATGTTATCACAATAAATGGAGAGGTTAATTCTTAACTCGTGACAAATATAGATTATCTTTCGAGGAGTTGGTCAAGTATTTACTGTTCAAAGCTTGTTAATTTTATGTTTTCATTGCTGCAACTATTAAGTAGCAGTAGAGAGTAAATAGTAACATATATTTCCAGAAAAACTTGACCACAAATGACTGGGTTGACTCAAGTCCATCACTGGATTTACCTGAAATCACCTGTTGCACTTCACGAAGGAGGAAAGATTCAATAAGCGCACACCAGGAGTCGTATTCGCCAGTCAGTGCTGAACAAATGTTTGTTGTAAAAAGTACAGTACCTGCTATTAAATCAACTGAACAAGTGGAGGCGGTCATCGCTTTAGCACATGCAACTACACTAAAGAGACTTTCATCACCTGTCATCGCAGAGGAAAATGAGGGCATCGAAAACTGTGTTCCGATAGAAAATAGCAGTAAAATTAGTGAAGCGGAAATAGGAAGTTGTGAAAACGATAGTTCGCAAGTTCTGGAACGTAAAATCGAGGTCTTTTTTTTTTTTTTTTTTTTGAGCAAGTCTTTGAATCTTATAAGGAGTACTGTTTAAATTGGTAATGCATGATGTCTATATCATCTTTTGAAGAATTATTTAAAGTGTTCTGAGTGTCATTTGGAAAACTACTGTTAAAGCAGAATGATTTTCGTGAACAAGAAGTACTTTGAATATAAAGTAATTGTTTAGGGTGAAAATTTTGAGAGACCTCCAATTCGAATAAAAATCGCATTAACTGATGTCAGTTTGAAAAATTGTATGAACAAAAGCAGCAATAAGAAAAATAAAGAAAAGAAGAAGAAGAAGAAGAAGAAGAGGAAGCACTGTGATCCCATGAAGACTGATAGTGGAGCGGTTTGTAAAAGCTTTGCTTTTTCATTTTTCTTTAGTTCAGTTTTCACAGGTAATTTGAAATTAATGACTTTACGACAATTTAGTTTCTACATTCAGGTAAATGGTTTACTGCCGAGTTGTTCGGGCTTGGATGATACGAGATCGGATGATGCTGCTTTGCATCGTGATGACACATCTCATCCACGCATTCTTATGCGTATAACGCGTAGAAATAATATTGTGTCAGTGACAGATCCGCGAACGAATCATATATCTCTACATATAACACCAAAAAGTAGTGACAACTTTGCTTTGTCTTGGCTTTTTTAATATCTAGGAGATCTTTTACCAGTCTTAGATAAGGTTTCTGTTTTTCTACCCGAAATTTAAGGTGGTGTTGATGAAGAACGAGAGCCCCCTCTGAAGGTTCCGAAATTGAAAATTCGGTTTGGTCGAAATAGAGAAGAGCATGTGGTTGATTCCGAACGACCAACAGTGGACCAGATATCGAATGGTGCACCGCACGAGATGGATAAATTACAAATAGGATTTGGAAAGGGCGATGATGACCGTCTTAACCGACACAAACGAACGGCAGGAGTGGATTATAACCGAAAAATGACTATTATTATTCCAAAATCTGTGATTAAAAATTCTTATGTGTCATCTTGTAACTCCGACAACTCGATCTCAGCAGCTGTCAGTTCTAACGCACAATTCTCACCTAATTCAGGTAAATTCCTCTTTTTTTTTTTGAGTAATCTTGATTTATTGGGGGTTTTTTTTTTTTTCAAGACTTTTTATATTTTAATGCGCAATCTTATATGTTGGTTCTCATCTGTTACGGGATCTGCTGTGAACTAAAATGCAGTATGAGCAATTCTAATTTAGAGTGTAATAGTAAAGTAGTAGTAGTAGCCTGTTTCCGAGTTTTTTATAAGTTTCAGAGGAGAGGCTTTTCCATTTGTTTGGACTATACCTTTTTAGGAAATTACAATGTAATGAATTGTTATGCATATTTATCGATTAGAAGTCTCTGTCATGTGCAAACTGCAAAAATGTTTTATTATTGTTTCTTATCCATTTTTCCATCCTCTAATTGATACTAGCTTTTCGATTAGTTTATTATTATTATTATTATTATTATTATTATTGTTATTATTATTATTATTATTTTATTATTATTATTATTAATTATTAATTATCATAATTTCGAGCCATAAGTTTTTGTGAACATTTCCGAGTTATTTCTGTTACATTTGGATGTATATACTATCTTTTCCTTCCATTTATCTAGTAAGGAACTGCATCATTTAACTTGCTAGATCCTAAAACGATAAATGTTCCTTTTTTTACCTTTTAAACAAACGCTTTTATTAGATAAATTACTGAACAAAAAGTAATGAGCATGTAAAAACGTTTTTTAATAACACACAATGATTGTAACAACAAAGGTCCGACTGTTGTGTAGTCCATTCCCATTTGATATCTCTAAAATTTGTCTGGAACTAATATGAAAGGTGAGATAATTTTCAGAATTATCAGACGAGGAAGAAGATGAGCAACTGCGTGCACAAGCTGATAGCGTCATCAGCCGTTTAAATGACTGGGGCACGAAAAATACTGTGACACGTCAAACTGATGCACTTTCCCGATTGGTTGCTAGTGGACCTTTGGTAACTCCGGTTCTGGATCGGCTTCTTCCGAGTGATCCATGGTTTTTTAGTATGGATGTGAAAAATCACTCAACAGTCGACTCCAATGACACTGCTCATTCACACATGGCATGGCTTGGATCTACCGCCAGTCACTCGCATAGTTTAAAAACCACGATCAGCATCAGTAAGCCGAATTAGAATTATGGTTTTTTGTCCTTTTTATGGCGTCTTCACTTTCCATTTCTATAAGGAGCGACAATTCTTTAGTTTGTTTTATTAAACTAATAAAGTATCGGGTTTAACTTTAAAGGATTGCTCAGTGATTCTAATTAAAACTTTGAGTTAGTCTCAAGTTTGAATTTATTAAAAAATTGTTATTTGTCGCGCAATAAGAAAGTGGAAACGCAAAGTCGTCTGTTTATTGTGTTTATGTTTATTTGAGCGCGGGTTTCATGTCTTTCTGCTGCTTTGTGGTGGTGTCTCTGTTGCAGTAAATAGCTACTACTATGGTGAACAGTTTTGACTAGTTTTATACAATTTGGTTTATTTTAATATTATTGCTGTTTCGATCTGAAATAATTTCCTTCACTATCCGAGTGGGGTAAATAGATTCAATTCGACTGCTTTTATTGAAAATAAGTATGATGAACTTTTGAGATAATCACAGTTTCAGTATATTCGTTTTGTTTTTTAATTTGTTTTTTCATTGTTAAAGAACACAGATCTGTAATCTTTTTTAATGTCCTGTGTCCATTTTTTTTTTTTTTGCACCATTTATATTTATGGCTTAGTTCTTTGCGGTCTTCCTAAAATGAATTATTTTATTCATCAAATGCCTTAAACTCAAAACATTCTCTTTATTGCTAACCGCCCCCTCTTTTCATCCTCTCCCCATTCATTTCTGTTTTGTTGCGGTGCTTTCCTCTGTAACTTTTTAAAATGTGCTGCTAAAATGTTGTTTTTACAAATATTTTGTATTGTATGAATAATATGTAATGATGTCCTATTTTGTATGGTATTATGTTGTCACTACAAATAGGATGGAATTTATTGGTTGGTTCTTTCAGTTCTAAATTTTCTTATACCTATGATAAGTTCCTTCCTACAGATTGTACAATATTCTGTACAGGTCCAGACAGTGTACGCGTCTTATCATTTTTTTCTTCATTGTACTGGCCCCTACACAGATCCGCAAACACATACACAGTATTCTAATCTCAAACTGATCTAATTTGTCCATTTTGTCCACCTTTTAACTTGTTCGTTGTCTTTAGTTTTCATTCAAGGAGAAACTGTATATTTTTAATATTAAGTTGTGTGTTCAGAGTAATGAGCCTGTTCAGAAATAATATGTAGATATGGAGCATAAAGCATTCCGCATATGTAAGCATATTTTGTAGAAAAAAAACTGTATGCGAGAAACTGTACTTTGAGATTTTAATTTCTCACATTCTTTCTTTTTATTGTTTTAATATGGGAAGTGGTGAGCCCTCCAAACAGGCCAGATTTCAACGAAGAAAGATTATGTAAAACAACACATCGTGGGTTCGGATTTGTTAGTAGGTGTTCGTGGAGCCATTTAAGAGCAACCTTTTACGAATCCCCTGAATTCGCAAAGAGCCAGTGGGAGGAACAGTAATTGGGCTCATCGAAATGCTTTTGCAACCGGTTACGTGTAGCAAATTTAAAAGTGTATCAAGTCGTTGGCAGTGGAAGTGTATGCGTCTAGTGGTAAATAAATATAAGCGTGTGTCGTATATGCCATTAGTTTGATAGTAGAGGTATGTAACAGCGAGATTTGTGAAAGGAACTTCTTTAGAAATGATTTTCGGATATGATTATGGGGAGCCTGTGGGTATGATATTTCTAGAGTTTCTGGATGATTTTGACCGTGGATTTTCTTCCATATCGTAGCGCCACCTAATCCATTTTCCTGTCCATAAAAATTCATTCAATTGTATATTTGTTGTAAAAAAGTCATTTGTTCTCTTATTGTTATTGCAGGTTAGCCCTGGAATGGATTTCTTCTCCTCGAGTTTTAACGCTGAGAAGGTTTTAAATGAATTTGAACTACCCTTCATCGAGTCCAAGGGTTTTAAATCAGTTGACGAATTTGAGCAGTACTTGCGCAGCACAAATCCCGCATTTGTCGCACAATTACAAAAAGTGGAGATTCAGGAAAACACCAAGAAATCAACTGGACTCTCCAGGTGGAAATTCTATTGTAAAAGCTAAAATTACTTTAGAAACTTATTAGAGACGTTGAGTATTTGTAATTGCCTTTATCTCCAAATATAACATTAAAAATATCTCTCTTCCCTTAAATAATTTTCTTTTTTAATTCAAAAAGACTCACATACAACAAACATCATTTGAAGAGTTAATCATTACTTTGCATTTCGTTATGTTGTTATCGCTGCAGTGCTGATTAGCACATGCAAGGTTGGCATAACATCCAGGCAAAAGAGATGTGGTTTGTCAGATCATTTTTACCTTGACCATTTTGATATATGCATAGCAAAATCGCCAGGTGTGTACACAATGTAAATAGATTTGCAGTTGCGTGGGCCGCATCATGTTCAAGGAGAGGACTTTGAAAGTCCAGAATATCAATAAAAAACCCTTAACTGCATATCTGCACATATATACATAAAAAAGTCCTCTAGTGATTTTCCCGCCTTAATATGATTTCTCTGTTCCATCCGGTGTCGGTTATCAGTTAAATTGACTACCCCCATTTACACTTCCTTTTCATTACAAGTTCGTACAGGAATTCCTTAATCGCACAAGGCGAACTAAATTCCGATTAAGCAGTCAGGACTGTCCTTTGACATTCATTTGTTGCTCTTTTAAAACTTCCACAAGAAGTTTTACTGCAAGACAGTACTAGTTTTCAACTTGATGTTTTTCAACTATTAAATGAGACAAAACTTATTTTAGGAGAGCTCGGCTATCACAAATGTGTGCGCAAAGGGGAAGAAACATAACTGAATCTGTTGAGTTGCGGAGATGCCTCAATAAGGCTAGTCACATGAAAATGATTTTATAGCTTTCCAACTTAATATTTGTAACTTAGCTGCTTATAGAAATGGAGCGCTGTTAATTTGTTCCAAACAAATCAGCAAGGACCAATGAAACGTCTGGAAGAGTGCGTGGAACAGGGTCACCCAGTACGTATTAGTTTGCGTGGGCGAAATAGCGTGAACTCTTCCATTCAAGCAAAAATTATTGCATTTGATAAGCACTGGAACCTGCTGATAAGGTTTGTCATACATTGACACAAGTCACCGAGAATTCTGTGTTGCCTTCTAATCTAGCCATAACATATTACTCCAAATTTCACTGATTATTATTAATTTTAAAAAAGTAAATAATCAAATAATCGTCCCAAAATGGCCATGAAGCTACAAGGTGAAATCTTTCATGTTCTCCTGAAATATGTACTCACTTATGTGATCCCAGGTGTAATTGTGTTTACTCGAGTACAGATATGTGATTTCTTTCAAGAAGCAAATATAAGTTGAAAACTTTAAACCAGATTCAACATTATTCATAACTGACAAAGTTTAGTGAGCATTTAATGATATTCATAAGCGTAAATCAACAAAGTAATATAGAGATGGTGATGAGAGTTTCAATCCACCAATGAATATGAAACGTCGAACCACCAAAAGTATACATGCAGCAGGACCATACCAGTATTGTGAAAGCCAATGCGAGGACAGGGAAGGTAAAACAATAACACTATGGCAACGTCATCTACCGTGTTCTCTGATACGTGGGGACGACATTGTCTTGATATTTGTTTCTCCACAAATGTCTGTTAACCGTTTTTTACGGTAAGTGCGTTTGCAAAGACATATTTATATTTCTGGTGACGTGCAACTTATGGCAAAAATATTTGGAAGACGTAATATTTAGAAATGACCAGCAAAGAACTGATGAGACAAGGACTCACTTATCAGATTTCAGAAAGTCTTTTCGCCTTTTGCAGGATACCAACAGATAAACAGTTCATGTGATCTGATTTCACGCCACATAACAATATGTGCATATGATAAAATTATTTTAGAAACTGGATTAATTTTCTAATTCTTCACTGTGCAATAGTATCCGCTTTCATTCGCCTTAGCTGAGCATACTGCGTATCCAACGCCTTTTCTAGTTGTTTACCCTATAACTTTTTCTAGTTTATAACAAATATATTGTTATTCTATCACAGCATGTAAACCTCTTACACTGAAACTGTATTAAGCTTCAATAAATCAGGTTACTTACCTTATAACTAGACATACACTGACAAAAATTTCGGGCAAAGTGTGCAGGAAGGGACAATTGTAAACACTGGTCGAACCTACAAAGATCGTTGTGGTTAATAATGTTAAACTTCATTTTAATTTAGATCAGAGCAGTAAAACCAACCGGTACGTCTCACCTTTCCAAAGAACAAGACCGTAGAGTTTGTAAACATACATAGATTTCGTGCTGGAGCAAAATACACTGAGCGTCTGTAAGGTCATGATTTCCGTTAAGAGGAGTCTGCAAACGATACTGACCAGGTCATGCTTATAAAATGGTATTTTGTAGAGACAAAAAACTGCTTGTACTGTTAGGCCATACACAAAATCTGATATTGAAGAGTCTCCAGAAAAAACAGGATTAACATAACAGAATGCTTTCGCGCGTTAAGATTCAATTACGACCCATTTTGCCAAATCTGCATGGATAAAAAATTACCTGAAGCGCACCACAAACCGCCTTCTCCCATAAAAACTCGATGCAGGCAACTGATCCATCGTTCGACAATTTTAAAAATAGTTTACTAATGATTTGGAATGTCATCCGCTGTGTTGGCACATCATTTAAGCTCATGAAGGAAATTAGTGAGTCGGCTATTTTGTTGAGAAATTCGACGCCTTCAAATTAAAGTCATAAAAAGTTAAATCTTCAATTATCCTCAATCAAATAAGGTGAAATTTGGAAATGAATTAAGTTTTTGTCAAAAATTTCCACGCAGTGATATACTTTTGTGATTACTTACCACAGTCTGTCAACATAACAGTTAGGTCATGTGTCAAGATGCTCAATATTGTTTGCAGAAAGGCCCGGTTGTAATAAACCATGTCCTTAACATGGCTCTCATTGCATGTATCAACTGAAGTTCTTTGTGCAGCCCATAAAATATCAAATAGAGCTGGAATATTCAAGCCAATTTCCAAAAGACGTTTCTGAAATGACAAAAGTAAGGGTTGTCACCCTCTGTAGTAATAGTAACAAGAACAGAGAATAGAGGAAAGTGCTGCTTAAATGTTCAAAATATGACCATATGGAAAACTTAGACTATCCAAAAATGGCCACATTATAGTGGGAATTTACATAACATCTAGTAGTGAAAGAAATCAATTTTGAAGCAAACAGTAATTCCATAAGAACATACCTTAAATTTGCCGAAAATTTGCTGCAGTAAAATAAGAAAGTCATGCATCATTTTAAGATCTAAACCGACATCAAGATACTTGTTGCAAATAACTGGTAACATAGCTAGTATTTCACCATCAAGACAAGTGACCATCCGGTGAAGATACTGCCTCAGTGCATCCAATCCTTCGACATTATTTGGAGTTACTTTATCCAGAAAAACCTAATAATCATATCAACTCACTATAGTTCCCAATAATTACGAATGTTGGAGAACAATAGCATAGCTTATGGAATAAAGTTTTCATTTCATAATGGACCTTAGCCTGTTTTACGCAGTTACAGGACATGCAACATATTAAGATATAAGATAAGCAAATGAAGAACGTACTTCCATCAATTCAATGAAAATGATAGTACACTGACAGTACTGCATGGTGTAGTTGTTTGAAAATGCTTTAGTAACACGACTGAAAATACGAATAATCTCTAAGAATATGATCAGTTCTTTGATATAATTATCAAAATAATACAATTTCAAAACAAAAACTCACGCGCTGTAACCAATAACATCAGCAAATCGCTGATGAAGCTGCTGTACTTCATCCACATTCTTTGTTCGTGATAGCCTTTCCGTTATACGTGAGAATTTTTGAAGCAATGATAAACCGAGAATTTTCATGCATTCTTGTTTCCTTTCAACGGGTAGATTACTGTGAATAATTAGCACTGATGTAGATTCATAGAGATACATCTGGAATTTAATCAAAACTATTCAATGATTCTAAAAGCTTCAAATATATTTAGAAAAGAAGACCTGGTAATTGGAAACAGTTAAAAATTTTCGACATATTTAAAAAACTGCTGGTTTAAACATAAGTTAACTAAACGATAACATCACTGGTGGGAAAAAGCAAAAACTAAAAGATCCTACAACAGTATATAAAGGAAGACGGAAAACGAAAAAAAAAAAAACCTGGTCCTCTTTCGAGAGTTGATAATCTTCTTCAGATGTTACGGTGAAAAATGATTCTAACTGTGCGAGAATATTTTCAGCTTGGCTACCCACGAAAAGCCTGAAAGTATTTTTTTTCTAATAAAAACATTTTTTTGAGTGTTTTTTTAATAAAAAAAAAAATTTTTTTTTGCTTACTTATGTGCTTTTACAAAGCGACAAAATAAGTAGATAATGCGACTTCTTGATCGTAATGAAGACTGACGAATACCACGTGTATCCAAGAATGCTTCCTGAAATGAAAAGTAAGAAATGATTGTCTAAGTAAGCATATGAGCAATGAAGAGAAAATCTACGTAAACATATGACTGAGCTGAAAAACATTCCCTGAATGAGTCATACATTATATACATAAATGTTTACTAGATATGTAAGGCCGAAATTTGAAATCCAAACCAGTATTAACGGCAGTAGACCAGTACTGTTTTGTAAGATCCTTTCATAACGGCAAGCAATTTCGAAGAATAATGTATTGATACAAGGTAATCCACAATGATTTATTGTACTTTGTAGAATCTAAATGAAACACGTAGATATTTGTACGGCTTCAAAGAGAATAACATACAAAAACGTTTTATTGCATTGTTCGGTTTAGTCAAAATAAAGTTTGTAATTTCGAAACCTTAATGGATAACAGACCTGTACTGCCAATATTTTTGCACGTTCAGAAATTAAACCACTATTACTTCCGAAATTTGTCTGCAAAAAAAGGACACATTATTTCACATAGTTTAGATTGACTTGACTTAACTTCCACTTTCCTGACACTAGTTCTTAGTACGTATCGTTTCCATTTTATAAGTAAAAAGAAATGTCTACCATCAAAATAACTTGTTGAAGTGCAAAACAAACTGTTTAGCTCAAGTCATATACGAATTTATAACAAATGACTAAAATAACACAACATAAAAGTCTTTTAAGTGAGGAACCATTTCTCTTTTTTTTTCCAGTTCTCTTTTTTTGGGATATAATTCTGTATATTCAAAAGTAAACTTCGAAATATTCAAAGCATATGAAATAATATACGTGTATGAAGTCGGCAAGATCATACACTAGTGCTAACGTAGCTTCAACAACATTCATTTGGCACTGCTTCCAGTTTTCACATACATTTTGCACTGATGGCTCCAGTTTCATCAATATCGGTTCCGGTTCCTAAACTATGTAGCCAACGATTTTTGAAATTAAATAACCGAGAGCATCCAAATATTAACACAAAGAAACTAGTTTAATAATCTAGGAACAACTTTAAGTTACAAAATGAAAGTTATTCGCGGTTAAAATATTGCGTATTGTCATAATTACCCACAGCTGTTTCACGCACCCTGATGTGATTTGATTTCAGCACTCCTCGGTCTTTTTTTCCTCCCTCTCTCTCTCTTACTCCTAAGTCTTGATCAGCCGTTTCGCCCAAATTCAATAAGAAAATAACGTACAAAATTCCCAACTGCTGAAAGCATATTTCGAAGTTGCCTTCTATACGCCATGAATTCAGCAACAACCTCACCATCCGTATTACTTAAATCAACATCACTTGCTGCTTTGTACCTAAAAAACAAAAATTATTTATAATTTTGCAAAAAGTTGTGATAGGAATATCAGAATATTAATTCCAATGACTTCCTTAATCCTTAATCGTATATAACTTTTCGACTGGCAAATCAAGAAAAATAAGTCAAATTTCAGTCACTATGTGCACGCACACATCTTTTTGGTTAGACAGACAATAACGTGAAGCATGATGCAGCATGCATTTATAAATTCAAATGGAAAAGACAAATTTTTAACATAAATTTCTACCTAATAAAAATTTGTGGTTTACTGCCTAATGAAATTTACTATTAACTACCTAATGGAATTTTGTAGTTTAGAAACGAATAAGTTAACCTATCTATGGCTATGCAAATCATTCGACTAGTGAAGTCGTGACGCTTCTCAAATTCCTGAGTTTTAAGAATACAAACATAACGCCGTAAAAACTCGACAACAGTTTCAGACGCATCTATATCCTGAAACTTTATAGTTCTCTATAAAAAGTACTTCAGCTGAAATAACAGCAAATGTGAACAACGAATGCAACAAAATTATAAAAAATAAAAACCTCATTAGAAAAACATAACAAAGCGATATCAGCTTGTTCTTGAAGAAGCACTTCACACTGGATAGATTTTTCTACATCACCAGTTTTTGAAAAGCTGAAAACTATTTTATGCAAAAAGCGTACTTAATCCATTTTACCTTGCCGTATACGGATTTTGCTCTTTTAGTCTAGGAAATGTTGTACGAAGAAATTTTCAGTTCAGAATTTATATCAAAGCATACTGAGATAAGTGAAATTTAGCGTCTTCAAACTACTACGTTCCTTTTTAAGTTGATATCACCAGTTGAATTGAACAAAGTGTGCTATGCGGTACCACTTTGGTGGGAAATCAAAAAGATACCATGTATGGCAATCGATTAAAGCGCATCCTAATGAACTTATGAGAGCTCCAGTTCTCAAAACGTCATCAGCATTATTTTCCTGCAAATATTCTGTTGTATTTCATCCATGAAGGATGGATAAATGAAGTATTTCTAAGAAAACTTCACTAAAATTACTTGGTAATGCTTACTCTCAAATCAAATGACCCGTTCTCACGCAAAATAGTGCACAGCGATGCAGTCAGTACAAGCTTCTTTTCAGCATCCATACCTTTCGTGACCATTGCATTGATCGCTGATATCGCTGATTCACAAGTGTGTTCATTTTTTAAACAATCTAAAGATCATCTTGACAAATCTACCCACTTTGATATAGGGTAAAAATATTTAAATGTTATTAGGAATATAAACAGCTACTAATAATAAATGGGATGGTAGTGTTGTTGACAACGAGTTCCAAATCAATCCAGTCGATGTAACAAGCAATAACATCCAAGCAAAGTTCTCGAGTCTTCAAATCATTGTTTTCAGCCTAAAGACATGAAACGAAGTTTTCAAATCATATGCAATCTAAGTACTGATATTTTTGATTAAAAAACTTTGTTTACGGATTTTATAAAATAAGAGACTTTGTTTCTCAGAGAAGCAACAGTGCTAGTAATAATAAAATTCACTTTGCAGTCTAAAATTAATTTCCAGCACGTAAATCGTAGAATATGGTGAAATAATGACAAAAACTTCGAACTGTAGCAATTCAACAAAACTGGTTAAACTGACTAGTATCTGAGTCCATATTAGTGCTAGACTATAGTTGCAGTTATCACGCATAGCATCCTTTATCCGCATATTTCTTTCAGTCTCCTGCAAGAAAGAAACATTAAAACAAAAGCAATGTAAAAGTTGATATTAAGCAAATAACTACTTTCTAATAAAACAAATTTAACAATAATTACGCGTTTTTTTTTTTTTTAAATTTATTTTATGTAGAACGAAAAAATTAAGTCCGAGTGAAATCTTTATGTAGTTTCTTGCTTATTTACTCTGCTTATTCTGCATTACTACTTTTCTATCTCGATGGCAGTGATTATGAATAATTCTGCACTTCTACTGACATAGAGATAAAAGGACCCAAGTAGGTACAACAATTTCTGAAACAGAACAACAAACATCTCCTTTCTTCAAATTGCAATACCTGCTTGGTGCGCCGGATCTCTCGATCAACTACCTCACAGTCGATAGCAATTAAAGTACGCAGGAAAAAGACCGTTATTTCAGGTGATGATACCATCTGTTGGAAAAATACCTACAGGCAAAGAAAACAATCAATCATAACAATTCTTTCCTTGACTTACATTAGCAGAAAAAGCTTTTGGTCGATATAAATTAATATATAAATTAATATCGACCAAAAAACTAATAAATTAAGCCATTTTAAACCTACTGCACAGATATAAAGGAAACTTGCCTCTTCCATGAAATTCGGCCAACGTTTTGGAAAATCGGTGGCAAAAACCAATGCAAAGAGCTGAGCCATTTTGTTCACCAAATATGACGGCAGATTTTCAGGTGAACTTCTGGAATAAAAATTTGCAGTTTAAAGAATAAGATCGTCATTCTGGAAAAACGGCGCATCTTATGTTGGACTTACAGGCGACGCAACCATCCATACATCCATCTTCGAATAATATCCTGATCCTGATCGTTATCCGCATAGCGTACTGTCAAATATGTTTCAATCACCTGCAGAAGCATAAAATGCTCCTCCGGATCACTGAAATTTGTTTCTTTGACGATATCTGTTCCGAAAAATCAAGCCATCATTGCTGTTATATAAAAAAATACCAGAAATGAAACCGGTTTAGTTCATAAAAAAGACTTTTTTAATAAGCATCCGCACCAGCCACTAATGATTTTTTCGATGCAGTTCTTCCAACCATCGCATTCATTCTTCAACTTTTCTATGTATTCGAAAATCTGCAAATCAACAAGTTGTATGTTCACTTGTTTCAGCTATGATGCAAATTATACCGTTATAAAAATGGTTTTATGATGACACCCTAAAGCTTTTTAAAATAACATAACTAAACTTACCAAGTGATGCTGTGCAGTATTAGCCAATGAAGCAATAGAAATCATAATCAACAGTACCACAGAATCTATGAATGTCACTTTCTTGAACAATACACCTAAACGTTGAAGAGGAAAAACTAAAGCATAAATCTATTAAATACATTTAAGAAGAATCGAAGAAAATGTTTTTCAAAAAGTCAACAATATCTTTTCCGGGATTCATAATCGCTTTGCTCTGTTTATAGGAAATAAGATCTAACTTATCAGAGTCAGTGTTTTCCAAGAAACTGCTGGAAGACTGTGCTCCGATTTGTCAAGGACACCTCGGAGGTGGAAAGCACCAGACACCTGCTACCGTCTGTTGAGCCTTATTTCGAATCGTTCCTCAGCACAGCGAGACACGAAGTTTCACAGCAGAAAAGACGGAATTGGGGTGAAATATTGTAATTGATTGGTGCCAGGCACTTCTAAGAAGGTGTGGATAACTAATCATAGTATTGTTTTCTACCGTTATCGGTGGAGGCGAGGTATGGGTTGAGAAGGTTGCACTGCTTTGGGAAACATTTTTTTGTTTTATCACGTTCGAAGACGACAAAACAAGAACGATTGGGATTTCTTCGAGAAATCCCAGTCTGTTTTCTATTTTTAAACATTTCTGCTGGTACCCTGAATTTTTCATTTTAAACAAAACATGCATTAACCTCATCATGCAGATGAAGACCTGGTAATCCGAAAAAGGCTGACAGAGTTGGTTCTAGGAACAACACCATCCTCTTTCGTTTTTATAGTAGGATACATTTTTTCTTTATATGTAAACTGTAAAACATGTTTACTTGTTTCATTTGTTCAAAAAGAGAGAAGTTCTCGGAAACCTTTTTCTGGTGAAGGAATTAGGAGTCATTTTTGTGACAAAACATCATAACGAGTCTTATCATAACGATCGTCGCATAAAAACTGTGATGTTAGATATAGTTTTCATTGAGCACAGAACTTCTTTGTAGTTTTCCGAAGTGCGTTATTGCTGAAGAAGCGGGGAGACGATGTCCAGTGATGAACAGTCTGATAAAGAGGTATATGTCTTGTCGTTTCTATTTCTTGATCGTAGTAAAGTAATGGTGAGTTAAAATCTTGTCTTCTCACCATCGTATACCTCTCAGCGTGGTTTTTTATACATAAATGATCATTTAGTCTTCTTTGGATGAGCCGACTACGCTTTTTAATATTATTAATATTAATATATTATTAAAGTATTATTGATATTATTATTATTATTATTAATTGTTCGGTGTCACCAGAGATATCGTGTTTATTGGTTGATATTCATTGTCGAGCTTACTTTAGGAAATACTGTGTCATTCTTCCCTCATTCTTAAGGTTTAATGCGACTTGCTTGCAGTGGCTCTAACTGTAATCTTTTTAGTGCCCCTTGTGCATGGAAGCACTCGAAATCGATGATATCAATTTCTATCCTTGCAAATGTGAATATCAAGTAGGGATGAAGTTTCTTTATTTTTTGTTTTTGAAATGTGTTGAAGGTCTGCCCTAGTATGGTTAGTCTTCACCAGGTAAACGGGCTGACTATTTTAATATGCATATTTCTTTCATTTATCACCATATTTTGCTCATAATGGCACTACTATCGCGAGATATGCTGACGGAATAATCAGATTTATTTCCAGATATGTAGATTTTGTTGGCATCGATTGCGAACCGATGAGAATGGGTTATGTCCGGCATGTAGACAACCGTATCCGGAAGATCCTGTGAACTTCAAACCTCTGACGGCTTCAGATGTCCAGAAGATGAAAACAGAAAAGCGACAAAAACAACAGCTGCAGAAAATCAAGATATGCGAGTCTAGGAAACATCTATCCTCATACAGGTTTATTTTTTGTAGTGGAACTTTTCAAGAAATGAGACTTATGGAAAATATTTCAGGGTGCTACAAAAGAATCTCGTATATGTAGTAGGTTTGTCGGCTAGGGTTGCAGATCCAGAAACTTTAAAGAAGCCTGAGTATTTTGGAAAATATGGCCGCATACTGAAGGTAAATCTTGCTAATGTTGTCTTGTATCACTGAAAAGAAGATTATAGAAGTGCATTAGTGATTATATGTATGATACTCCGTTACTTTAGGTTGCTGTGGGTTCTTCAGCATCACTGAGTGGTCCACAGTCGGCATCATGCACAGCTTATGTAACTTACGCGAGATATGAAGACGCACTTAGAGCTATACAGGTTTGTATTTTGACACTAGCTTGTGCTTGTGAAAGCACAGATTATGTGAAGGTCGCAATTGCTTAAGTAAGGTCTTTTGAAGAAGTGATGTCATAAGAGGATATGGATCTTTATGATTTATAGAATTTTTCACACAGTTTTGTTGTAGGCTGTTAATAATGCACAGTTAGATGGACGTATTGTGAAGGCATCACTTGGGACAACTAAATATTGTACAAATTTCCTTCGCAGTCAGCCCTGTTATAAACCGGTTTGCTTGTTTTGCGATGTAGTTATATAACTTGACTGGCTTGTTCTGACTTTTCCTAAGTTTTTTTCACTGATACTTCTTATGATATGGCGAATATATATAGGTTTATTCTATATGGATCTCATGAACGAGATTCACGTGCTTGCTTCTTGATTTCTTGTTTAATATTTTGGTACCAAAAGAATACAAAAGTGGAAAGTTTTATAAACTAAAAATAGATTATTGATTGTAGCAGTGAGGATTTCTGCTTTATTATAGGAGTGTATGTATCTGCACGACGTGGCAGATACTGAAGTCAGTTTTACCAAAGATGATATGCACCTTGGGCGACATGCGGAATATGAAAAACGATTGATTGAATCAACTCTCAGGGAGAAAAGTCAAGGTGAAAGGACGTCGTTTATGACTCATACGGGTGGAAAGACATCAAAGTAAGTGTTGTATGGTTGCAGCACACGCCTTCTGTTTGTTCATTCTAAAAAGCGATTGATGACAACGATTGGGACAAGATGCAGCGAATAAGACTGCAAAGTTTTAGTGAAATTTTGCTGTTTCCTGGTTGCTGGTTTAGGTGATTTCATTTATTTGTATTTTACATGTTGTCTTCCGAATTAATTGTTTTTATTTTGTTTTAGAAGTGAAAGCGCAGAGCGTGAACCGGATTTTCGCTCAATACCGATGGATAATACGCAGGACAAAGGGAAATTCTTTCAGAGTAGATCATCATCGAGTGATATAAAGATAACTCTAAACAAAATGAATGGGTAGGTAAAGAACTTACCATTGCATTGAGGCAAGCTTTGTTAATAGTTGATAGCTTTAAAATGATCATACATTTGTGAATTTCTTGCTATCGAAAAGTATTTTGTAATGAATGATTAACTAATTCTGGAAAAATAAATTATGATCGCCAATCTTCAGTTATGATTTATAACTTTTTTTTTCTCTTTTTTTCAGGGAGATGCTAGGAAATCAGTTGTCTTCTGTGACAAATAAATTGATTAGTAAGAATAAAGGGGCAGATAAAGAAAACGAAGTTAGTCATATTTCGGTATCTGATTCTTTTTAATGTTATTTACTTCTGTTGTTTTAATAACTCTCTTTCTGTTTGTCTTATTTTCGACGGAGATCCTACAGTGTTGATTTTTTCAGAGAAAAGAGTGGAAAAATGATAGAACAGGAATTAAAATTATTTGTCTCAGATTGTAAGCAGTCACTTTGCTTTATTGCTTTTTTTGCCAGTTTAACTTTGAATTTCTCAGGGCGGAGTTTTAGGCTCGATCTCAGTTTGAGAAAATTTCGGAAATAACAAATGACACACCATCGTCGGCGATGCTTGAACAAGTGATGCCTGCAGGAAAAGTTAATGAGGGGATTGGTTCAAGGCAAGTTTCATGAAGCACGAATAACGTGTGATAGATATGACATTTGTTTTGTTTGTTGGGTGATGTTTGTATTTCAGATATATCAAATATAAGACAGGCAGAGGTTAAGAATAACTGACACTAGTTAGGAGGAACCAGTTTTCATATCTACATTTGTTGTTTTGTAATTTCAATTTTTTTTTTTTTTTTTTGTTTAGTTGGAAAACTGGGCATTAGAAATTTTAAAGGGGCTAGGTATCAATATTGGTTAAAAAAGTAGCTGACAGGTGTTCCTAGAACGAATTTAGAAGGTCGTGTTTTCATGACATCATTTTTAGAATTATTAGGTTTTGATATAGTTTTTAACTCTTTTTCTGAAAAATGCTATGGGATTAAACTTCTTCTGTTTTAAATCCTGAGTTGTAAAAATTAAGGGTTCAGTTTATTGTTAGGTGAATTTAGATCTCGGTTGTCAGAATGGATTTCATCTAACCAAAGTGTTATGCCGCTTACGGCCACTACATGCGCTTCAATAGAGAAAATGTTTTTAAATGTTAGTTGCTTTTCATATTTTTTAGCATTGTTAATTGTCAATTACATGACCTTTTAATAGATGGGACAGATTTGGTAATTACTGTCATCACGTGGCATAGTCTCACTTTTTAATTTTTCTGAGTGTAGTTGGCATTTCTGTGGAAGACAGTATTTGACACTGCGGTAGTCGTGAGCTATGTGGAACGTGAGGCATTTCGTTTGTTGTACTGTTTCTCTTAATCACGCAGCCTTAATTTACAAGATAGCTTCATTAAATGTAGATTATTTGGAGTTTTTCTGATATTTTACTGTTCCTTACGAGAATTTTCCATGATTTTTTTTTTTTTCACATTTCAAATTACTAAAATTTTGATGCTTTTATAGACTAAGGAGAAAGTGGATGTGAACAATACGAAAGCGTTACCGAACAACCATAGTTCACAGTCGGTAAATGACACTGCACCATGTGATTGGCAACGGGCGCTAGGAATTTGTGGAAAAGTTGACAGCTTGACAACAAAGAATGCGACCACAGATTTCGCTACACCATTGTTTAGTTCGCAAACTAGAATGTTGCCGAAGAGTACACGTCTTAGTGTACATAGTGATGATGATTTAGGTTGCTTTTTCACTTTATTTCTAGGAAATCCTTTAACTGTTCTTTGGGAATTTGTTTTATTAATACGGCTATATTTGTAGCAATATTTTATAACTAGCGACATTAGAAAGTTAAGCATTAAATGCATTTCGCCGTAATTTGGATAGACGAACTAAAAATCACTACTAAATGAGTTTAGTATCACGTTCGTTAAGATGTGATTTAAAATAAGGAGGTTTAAGGCTTTGATCCTATTTCGGAGTCCGCGAAAGGTCTAGCAGATTTGTTGGAGGAAGAAAAAACGATTTTGCCGCAGTGCTCAACACAGAAGTAACAATTGTTGTTTTTCCATATTCGTGTTTTCTCTATTTGCTTCGTAAATTTCGTATATAAATATCTTTGTTTTTTTTTTTTTTTTTTTTTTTTTTTAATGGTCTGTGGTTTTTTATGTTCCATCATTATTAGTAGCTTGCGAATTTGAAAAATCTTTTTAGTGTTAGTGGAATGACGTCTGTATCGTCGTCACTGATGTCACTGGGTCTGCAATGTGGTTGGCCCTCGATGGGTATTTCGAATGGTGCTTCTCCAATGTCGATGAAAAATGCACTTGGAACAGATGTTGATTTAACAACGGCAACGAACAGTTACGTCAATGTCGATTTTTCACAGCCATTAAAACTTCCCTCACAGACCGCCCAGACATTCAACCAGCAGCTGACATCAGTATTTTACACTAATCAGTACTCGCCACATGCGTATTTCCCACCTTCAAAACCGCAGATGATTCGAGTGAATAATTTCGTAAATCCACCCACTAATTTGGCTTTCAATTCAGCACAACAACAGCGATGTCCCTCCTTCAACAGTAATACACAGTATCAGTCAAACGTTTCTTTGACTACAACAAACCAGATTGATGGTGCTAAGCTTCACGAGTGGCAAGAAGGTTTTCGGGCGCTGCTACCGAATGTAAATGTTCGTTTCGTACCCGATCTTAATACTGCAGGTTTGTCACTTTTGCATTTGCAGAACCAGGTGCACTTTTTGAGTCGGTATTCATGTACAAGGAATTTCTTGTTGTTAACATTGCATGTCTATGGGTTTACTTAATCGGAGGAGCGGTTATTTTTAAGCTTAAAATTAAGTAGGTAAAATTATTGCAGGTTATTCACCTAGTCGGACATCACCCATGGAAATGCAACGCACTAGCAGTCAATTTCCTTCATCCATAAATTATGATCAAACAATGCCAATGTCAGCACAGCTTTTGAATTCAATGGCATCACCTGCTTCTCCATCGGTATCATCCATAAATTCCTACTCACATCCATCACAACAATGGATGATGCCTCCACCTGGTTTTTCATACGTCTCCAAGCGATGAAGTAAAATGAATCTTGTATTTTAGTTATCGCTTATGATTTGTATTTCTATGGAGAATTTCTTTTTCTACTAGATTGCTTTTCTTTATGGTATCCCGTTTTTTTTGTGCTTCACCGAGGTCTTGAAAGCGTAATGTATAGCAGCTACTAAATTTCAAAGTGCAATTTGAAACAGAGGTTCGACTGCTTTTGTCGATTGAAAGTGTTGTAGTGCATGGTCCTACATCTTTTTACCCTATCGGGGCAATTTTCTCATCATTAAAACTATGGTCGGCCACTCGTCTCTTGCCATCGTTTAGATGTTACTATTTGTATGGTATGTTGGTTCGTCATCGAAATTATTTATCTTTATTTTGCAGAGAACTTGTGATTTCCTGTACTGTGATAAAGTTTACTGTTGTGCAAAATATAAAAGAAATCAAATTTAGTGTGCTCAAGTGCTTGTATTATTTGTTCACCTCCTCAGATCAAGCATGTTTTATTCTTACCGGAAGTGTTGTAATGTATAACATTTTTTCTTCCAACCTGTCTCGCATGGATGATGTAGCGAGCAGGCTACATTATCTCCGAATAGTTTGTGTTCCAAAAGTTTTTACCGTTAGTAAAGTCTTCAGCATTCACTGCTGTTCTTTCTTTACATCCTAATCTTTGGATAGGCTATTTACTGCGAGGGTTGTGGATGAATTTCGAGAAGGAACTGCAACTCTCGGCTGCGCTATTTTCGTTCCGTTCCCCGAGCTCTATTTTTAGTAAATATGTCATTTATGAAAATTGTGATTTGGGGATTCACCCGACTGCCAAGATTAAATAAGTTGCCAGTTGTTCTGTATTGCTTCCAAAGCGGAAACTTATTAGTGAAGGAGCAGTTTAGTAAGTGGCTAGAGTAGTATTTCTTATGAATTAAGTTGGGGAATTTGGTATGCTGAGGTAAATAAGACCCAGAATCTTTGCAATTAGAGATTAACCAACCGGAAACCGATGTTTGAAATAAATCTGGGGTTCATGACCACAGCTTGACATCATTCGAAGTTCTGAATGGAATTTTAGGATGTTTGACCGGTTTCCTTGAGTCCTTGCTAGTAATAGTATGTGGTTGACTTATTCAAGTCGCCAGGACGACTTCAGTATCAGAAGTGAATAAAGGCAGCAGTAAGAGAAGTTTGGAGTTTGTCGATTTACAGAGTATAAATCGTCGTTATAATGATCATGATACAGCGATAACTCTTATATAGAGTTAACATCCCTAAACTATACTAAGTTAATTAACTGTATAAAATTCCAAAAAAGAAATATGATTAAGTTATTGTCGCGAAGCTCGAAATAATTTATAATAAAATTGTGCTGCAAATATTTTTCACGCAAGTGGGTTACCGCGTAAATAATTTAGTACATGTTACAATGTCGAGTATGACGAATCATTTACCTAGTTTTTCATTCTTTTTGATTACCATGCTCATCTTTAATGGTTAAATTATCGGAAACCAATACACATGCCAATGTTTTCGATCTCATAACCAGTCTTGTTTCAATCGTTAAGCTGTAATCAGATCATTCTTTACACAGTCTTTATCAGAATGTAAACCAGTTCTACTCCATATATTTATATAATTTATTTGGGAAGTCAGAAGAGGACAAGAGAGGGGCATTATTTTTCGATGTCAACCTTCACTTCTTATCTTATTATACTTGCTAATAAAAATTATCTCCAAATGTTTCAATGTTATTCTACACTACTGCCATCTATATTCAAACGAATCCCTCCCGGATCAACAATTGAAGAAAATTCCATCAGTAATCGACTCTTAATTGACAAATCACAATTGCCCTATGACGTCTAGCCTTTCCTCCAAACCAGAGCTCTCTCAAAACAAAAACAAAATTCACAACAATCATATGTAATTATAAGCTAAGGCTTTTTCGTCAGCCACGAATTGGATCTCCAATTTAATCGGTTGTTTGAGTAAGACTGAGAGAAATTCTTCAGCGAATCCAAACATCCAATATATTTCACGGATATTCAATCTATTCCGGTAATGGAAAAACCCTGCTACACGAATACAGTTTCCTTGCCGTTTGATAACCAACTGAAAAAGTTATATAAATTTCTTAAATAGTAGCTACACAAGCTCATATGCTGACACTAATCAGAAATTTAAACTACACTTAAAAGTCACGAAACTGACCTCACTTCCATCAACGGTTATGTAGTCTGGGAAAAAACTACGTACGAAGCGACGAATGATCTCATCTTGTGCTATCTGAAACAACTTTAGTCTTGAATGCTATAGTTTTGAATATCGAAATGACTAAGTTAAAATCAAATAATCAGCAATTATCACGTCCTTTTGACTACTTTTCCAATATAAATCAATTTCTCGCATCTGTAGAAAGGATCTGTAGACCAACAGACATCTCAGCCTTAAAACACAGCATACCACGATAGGTTGACGCTGCCGAAACGTTTCCAAATTTTGTGAATGCCACGTTAACCATGATTTTTTAACTCCAATATGATGGGGTCGGTGAGCCATTTCATATGTAATCATCTGCTTTCGTCCACTTGTTGTCTGAAAGATAATTATCTTGATTATCACTAATACAAACATAACCAGTTAAGGATTTTCTGAATGGCAATATACTACTGCTCTTCTGTAACAACGCACTGTCCTTGGCTTATTACAACAACAAAGATACCCTATATTTTCCGGCGGTATTCTTTTGAAGTGGATACGATGTCGACATGAGCCTTTCAAGTTTAACAGTGCTCTCGACATTTCGAAGTGAACTCCTTGTCATGCAGATCAGAATCATATCGTTCCAAGTTCGTCTACAACCTACAAACCTCAAACAAAACGAAATGATGAATGAACATACAAGCGCTACCAGATGTTAAATAGATACACTAACATGGTCATATGATCGTGGTGTCATTTACCAGCTCTCTTCTACATTGTATTCTGGTACTGATTGGTGATGGCTGGTTTGCTTGCTGTTGGACAATGTCGCTTGGTGAACGGGGATGTTTGTCGTGAAGCCGAATGTTAGTGTCAACTGAATGAATATGAAGGAGGAAGATGAGCTAACTCGATTAAAACGGAATGCTTCGAAACTTCTTCAGCAAGCTCATGAAAAAACACACGCTCAGCAACGCCGGTATGTCTGGTTTATTTGTGAACTTCTTCCAAGTTGTTGAGAGAGCTGGAAATGGTAGTATACTTACGGTAGATGGTGGTTAATTACACATTTTTATCAAGGATGAATGTAAAAAGAAAAAACAAGTCTTTTCCCGGCGTATATGTGAGTTTACTTTAGAGCTTTTTTTTTTTTCAGATCACCTACGAATGGAAGATGCCGATCAGCATGTGATCAGCTGGATGCACGCGTCAGAAGACGATTGAACTCTTTCACTGTATGCTAAAAGTTAATTTTTTATAAAATGACACGGATTATGATTCGAATGGTTCATGAGATTGCTTTGGAGTGAACATTGGTGCTACTCATAGAGTTTGAACTAAAACTTTGTCTTGTGCATTATAACATGATGTTTTTGTCCAGGATATGTTATGGTGTGTAACTCAACTCACTGTAGAAAGGACGTAAGGCTTTCCATTCATAACGTAGTTAATTCCTGCGCTAAAACTAACCCCATTTTCAGGCAATGAGGTGGGCTGGGAAACCAAGGAAGTTGTCGCCTCTGCTGTTTGCGTCACATGGATGGATTTGTGTATCCCCAGAGGTGGTGCGGTGTGAGGCCTGTGGTCAATATATGAGTGTTATGATACCCTCACTGTTGCATGCTGATGTTACTGTTTATCAAAAATCAGTCAGGTCCTTCTTTACATTTGCAAACTTCCTTTATATTCATAAAGGTAGATTTGTGTATTCGTCTTTCACAAAGCTTATCTCCTTGAACTATCCGTTTTATTCGTCTCTCGAATCTATTCATGTTTATCTTATTATTTCCTCGAACAATTAAGACGTCGCGTTTTTATCAATAATGTTTTGAAATTTGTTAAATCCAGTCACTATAAAATCACTAAAGCATATAAAAAATATGAAATTGATATGTTTTAGAATGCTCGTTTCCATGATTACCATGAAACATTATGTTACATGTCGATATAGATATACTTCTTCCGGTACGGACGATGCCATACCACTTAATGCTCTTTGCAAAGACGTTGTCAATCACAGGTAATAACTGTTTTGTTGATGAATTCAAATGACTGTGATGAAAGGAAGAATGAAATTTTACACTCTAAGTTAAAAATCCCAGCGATATCTTTATGGTGTAAAAATTAGTATAACTGAAAGTACAATTTCGTGCCGTTAATTTTTAACTAGACCATGAGAGGACTCCACTGATGGCTTATGAATGAACTTCTTTAATATTTCACATGCAAAATGTGGTCCCTTCATCACTACTATTTGACACCCTTTGACTTATGGAATCAAAATTTTTTCCTTGTTGCTGACGGGCATTCAGAAACTCAACACGAAGGTGATGGAACGAGTGGTCTTGGGAGTATATTACTTTACAATCACATAAATTTATACTATCAACATTAATTATATAACTAGCACGAACCGTTCATTCCAGGTGTGAGATCATGAAGAAGCTTAATCTTGAGCAAATTAAAGTGGATGTCCCCGAAATCCCATCAACTGTGGTTCTTGAAACCACTGTACAAAAATGCAAAGCACTGATTTGCTTTGGCTGGCAAAAAAGGTTCGTTTTTCTTTTTGTTAAAAGTGTAATAACTTGATCGTTTGGTGGTAACGCAAGCACGTAAAGAAAAAAACCACATTTACCAATATTTCTAAAAAAGATTTGTGGTACTAGTTTTAAAAGTTTTATACAATCCAGAGATCAATTATCTGGTCATCTAAACATATGTTTCAGCGTATTTAAATACAACCGTTGCCATTTCCAAGTTGTTGGAAGTTTTGGTCTGCTTTCGGGACAGTAAAAGTCTAAATTATATTTGAAATGTTTCGAGTT